TTTAGGGTTTAGGCTTTAGGTTTCAGGGTTTTAGGTTTTAGGATTTTTAAGGGTTTAGATTTTAGGGTTTTAGGGTTTATAGTTTAGGGCTTTGGGTTTAGGGTTTATAGTTTAGGGCTTTGGGTTTAGGGTTCAGGGCTTTAGGTTTCAGGGTTTTAGGTTTTAGGATTTTTAATTGTTTAGATTTCAGGGTTTTAGGGTTATAGTTTTAGGTTTTAGGATGTAGGGTTTAGGATTTAGGCTTTAGGTTTCAGGGTTTTAGGTTTTAGGATTTTTAAGGGTTCAGATTTTAGGGTTTTAGGGTTTATAGTTTGGGGTCTAGGGCTTGGGGTTTTGGGTTTTGGGTTTGGGGCTTTGGGTTTAGGGTTTAGGGTTCAGGGCTTCAGGTTTCAGCGTTTTAGGTTTTAGGATTTTTAATTGTTTAGATTTTAGGGTTTTAGGGTTATAGTTTGGGGTTTAGGGTTCAGGGCTTTGGGTTTAGGGTTTAGGGCTTAGGGCTTCGGGTTTAGGCTTTAGGTTTCAGGGTTTGAGGCTTTAGGATTTTAAGGGTTTCAAGTTTAGGGCTTTAGGGTTTAGGGCTTAGGTTTTCGGGTTTAGGGTTTAGGGCTTAGGGTTTCGGATTCCTACAGACCGTTTAGGGTTAGGGCTTCGGGCCTAGGGTTTAGAGTTCCTACAGACCGTTTCGGGTTCAGGGTTTAGGGTTCCTATAGACTGTTTACGGTTTAGGGTTGCTATAGACGGTTTAGGATTCCTATAGATGATTTAGGGTTTAGGGTTCTAGATGGTTTAGGGTTTAGGGTTCCTTTCGACTGTTTAGGGTTTAGGACTTCGGGTTGCTACATAGTGCACCCCAGAATGTTGTAGCATGGACTTACAAGGATTCGTGCTAGGGTCCTTTATACTGTACCTCAAGGGGCATGAGGATAATAATAGCTGCTACTATACTAAACCCTAAACCCTAAACCCTAAACCCTAAACCCTAAACCCTAAACCTATAAGGGTTATGAGTTTAGGGTTAAGTGTCGTTGGGTTTAGAGCTTTGGGGATGTCGGTTCAGGGCTCAGGGATGAGGCTTTAGGCCAAAGCGTTGCAGTAGAGTTTTGAGGAGTCGGGCTCGGGGCGTTGGGAGATGTTAGTGCTCTACACCCTCGGGTTTAGGGTTTAGGGTTTAGGGATGTTAGTGCTGTGGCTGGACTCTTCAACGCAAGACCGTGGCCGTATACCCAAGAATCTCGTGCAGACCCGAAGCCCGAAACCCAAACAGTGGATTCTTCCTTCAAGGATTTAGCCTTGCGGACCAAGTGACATGTAAACGTAGGAAGCTATCTGTATCTTATAACAATAAATTCAATAGAAACCATAAGTGCTGAATGCACCATAAGCTGTGTCAGCGCTGTCAGGGTTCGTTTGGAAAGGTATGGCGCTGAGGTTTTCGGGGGTTCAGGCAAGCATGTGCACATTCAAGGGTTGTGGTTATTTCATAGGGTTTAGGGTTCAGGATTTAGGGGTGAGAGCCGGCATCAACACGAGGGTTGAGGGGTTTAGGGTTTAGCGTTTAGGGTTTTAGGGTTTATAGGGTTTAGGGTTTTGGTGTTTATTGGGTTTAGGGTTTAGGGTTTAGTGTTTATTGGGTTTCTGGTTTAGGGTTTTAGTGTTTATTGGGTTTCTGGTTTAGGGTTTTAGTGTTTATTGGGTTTAGGGTTTAGGGTTCAAAGGGTTTAAGGTAGGCTCTAGAAGGGCATCGAAAAGACACTGTGCCCTCCTTGAAGGAAGTGGAGGGGTCAGTTCAATTCAAAGGACCTTACGGAAGAGCTTAGGGCTTTTCAAACTTAACAGGGTTTTCGCTGGGTTTAGGGTTTCGGGTTCGGGATTTAGGGCTTAGGGTT